TAGAGCCAAACCGAGCCCAGCAAGAAACAAGGCCAAAACCGAGCTCAACCAAGAACCAAAACCCAAGCCATCCTAACAAGAAACAAAGTTAAAGCCGGTCTCCAAATAGAAATAAAACCAAAGCCAGCCCTCAACTAGAGACAAAGCCAACACATTGATACGAACTCAAGTTTTAATATAAATTGAAATCTCAACCATATCCAAACGAATCGAGAATCAGTAAGGGCCCAATGCCTCTGAAATGAAAAACCGAATACCAACAAAAGCCAAGGCCGAGCCATTCGAAGCCCAAAATCGAGCCTAACAACATTAAAATCCACCCCTATAAAGCGTTAAAGATCTAGCCATTTCAAGTCAAAGCCGAGGTTCCAAACCGAGCCAAAACCAAGCCCAACAAGAACCAGAAACCAGATCTGAGTTCAACAAGAAACAAGAAGTCAAAATTAAGCTCAACGAAAACCCAAATCACAAAACAGACTACAACATTTTCCAAATCAAATAAGTTCTCTTATAGCATATATTTCGAACTAGGGAAAGCCGCAGGAAGCCAAAAACCAAGCCCCCAAACATGCATAAAACAGTAGAATGAACTCCCAAGCATTCGTGAAAGGCCAAATAACCTCTACAATATTTCATGCTAAATGAAAATAAGTGAAAAGCGTCATAATACTCATCCCACCATGCTTGCAAGAGGAGCTAAAATTATTTCAAAGCCACGTTTCAACCCTCCTGTTCAAAGTAACAGGGACATGCTACAATTCCATCTCAAGCTAACGGGAGAAAATAAGAACACTTTTATCGTGTTATGCTTGCACCGTCCTAAGCAAGTAATCAAATCGAACTCCTAAAACATGCTCATACTTCTATCCTTCACATGCTCCTAGAGTGAATGCTTCAAAAAAATATGAAAATAAAGAGAACTAGCATGCTGTACTATCCACCAGAACCATGCACAAGGCTCGGCAGAGGGAAAATCGAAAGGCAACCAGGCACCACAGAAGGGGGGAAGAAGAGTGCCTCAAAAATGCTAAAGCAAAGCCCTGCAAAACAAGAGTTCACCCCAGAGAAGTGCCCTTACAGAAATTCCCTCTCCAAGCTCCTCTCACAGCCAAAATTTCCACTCCTCTCAAAAAACTTTTCTCAACAACCTCAAAAAATTCAAAAGGAGCTGTGTTATAGGCAGAGAATAGAGGAGAAGAGAAAGAAGATCACCCTCAACAGTCCACAGTACTCGAATCGGGCCAAAGAAGAAAAGGACACGCTCCCTGCTCACAGAAAACGAAGCCACCGAAGTCTCTTGGTCCTAGCGGCGAGATCATGTCAGGCAATGACGAACGAGGTCAACCTTCTCTCGCGCGGAGGAAGAGTTCGATCGGCTCGAGAACGAGAAAGAGAAAGGGCCAGGCGCGCGAACGGGAGAAGGAAGGGAGGCAGAGCTCGGACGCGGAGAGTGGGAAGTTAGGGCTTAAAGAGGAAAGGTGAAAATATGTTTAATAAAAATTAATATATATATACATATATATATATATATATATATATATA